GGGGAGGGGGAGAGGGAGGGGGGAGGGAGGGGGGAGGGGGGAGGGGGGAGGAGGGAGGAGGGAGGAGGGAGGAGGGAGGAGGAGAGGGAGGAGGGAGGAGGGAGGAGGGAGGAGGGGAGGAGGAGGAGTGAGGGAGGGGACGAGGGAGGAGGGAGGAGGGAGGAGGGAGAAGGGAGGAGGAGGAGGGAGGAGGAGGAGGAGGAGGAGGAGGAGGAGGAGGGGACGAGGATGAGGGGGGGAGGGGAGGAGGGGGGGGAGAGGGCAAGCTAGGTGCGCTCGCGTCATATCTGGCATCCTGCCCCTCCCTCCCATCCCTCACCATGGCGTAGATCCCCTCTCTACTCGCAGAGTCGGATGTCGAGCAGGGCAATGATCCCGAAAGGGTACGCGATGCATTGTAGAGCACGGCATGGCATGTCGTAGAAGAGCACCGCAAAGCGTAGTATGTCACAGCATGGCGCGGCGTGGCGTAGTGAAGAATTGCATCACAAAGCTTTGCAACGCAAAGCATGGCATCGCACAGCGGCCCCGAACATAACATTGCATAGCATGGCGTTGTATATCAAAGCGTGGCATGGCATAGCATGGCGTGGCACTTAAGCACTGGATATGACAGCTGCAGCTGAAGGCATGGCATCGCGCAGCGTAACGCAACCTAGCATTGCACTGCATGCCGTGGCATGGCACGGGAAATGAGGCCAGCGCTGCAGCGAGAGCACGATTCGGAACGAGCGGAAGCACGGAAATGAGGCCAGCGCTGCAGCGGGAGCACGATTCGGAACGAGCGGAAGCCCGAAAATGAAGCCCGCGCCTTAGCGAGAGCATAATTTTGAAAAACAACCCAAGCGAAAACCCAACTCCGGGAAATCCTGTGTGTAAAAAACAGTACGCGGAAGGGTGCCCGCTATCTTCCGCACGCCATCAGGGGATGGAGGATAATAGTATTCATATTGTGAAATTGTACCGGGGGAGTCAGTGGCAACCTCCGAGCTTCGAGGTGCGAGGTTTTCGGGCATTCTTCCTCTCCGCCGTCTCTCGGTGGTCCTCCGGCCCCGGCGTTCTCCTTCCAGCGGCCGCGCTTCGCCGCGGTGCGCTCTGGGGGTGTGCATGCACCGCCCCGGACGGCCAGGGAGCCGACCTGTGACCCGAACACCGGGAGCCAACGTCAGGGGGGATAGGCTCCGAAGGGGGGGGGCGCACGGACCTGCAAGCCGTTCGACACGCCCAGGAGCGTGCGGATGCGCCATCGGGGGCCTAGTGTAGAGCTATCGGCGACGTATCGCCGATTCCAGTTCGGTGCGTCCCTCCCCGAGACCCGTTCCACCCCCCGCACCCCCAACGTCCCCCGTCGTTCAATATTGAAGTTTAAAGATCAGGATCTCGTGGGGGGGGGGGGGGCTCCAGAAGGCACGGTCGATGTATTGATGATGTGTCGCCGATGCCAGATCGATGTTTCTCCGCCTGATCTGCTCCCCCTGTATCCTACCCCGTCAGATAGGGGGGGGGAGGGAGATCGGCGACGCATCGCCGAGTCCAGGTCGAGGCTTCCCTCCCTGAGCTGCGAGGAGGGGTAGGAGACAACATGCGAACGATTTCTCAGGGGTGAGCTGAGCTTCACTTCGCTCGGGAGGTCCCGACCGACGTGAACCCCGTCGGTTGTTCACTCCGCCTCCTCCTCCTCCTCCGTCTCCGCCTCCTCTGTCTCCGCCTCCTCCTCCTCCTCCTCCTCCTCCGCCTCCTCCTCCTCTTCCTCCTCCTCCTCCTCAGAACTCGTGGGGTGGTGGGATAGGGCTCGCGCGTGGCCTCCTGGAAGGGGGGAAGCGCCGTGCCGCGTGTGCGAAGGACCTGTGGCAGCGGCGCCTCTTCGTCTCGCTGGCCATCGGCGCGCTCCTCCTGGCCGTATGGACAGGGGGGAGGGACGGGGGCGATGACTACCCCTGCCCCCCCGAACGCGGGGGGGTACAGTCAGGGAGACGGACAACAAAAACAACATAAACATAGCATTCGGAGGTCCGCGCAGATTTCTGGGATCGGCGCTGGGGGCCCCCTGGCGGCGCCACCGGCTCCTCCCCTGGCGCGCGCCGCGCGCCATGGAGGGGGGGTCTAGCGCCGATCCGAGAAATCCGCGCGGGGCTCCGAGTTTTTATCTTTATGCCATTGTTTGTTCCCCTATTGATGGGTACAATGGGGACCCATGCCAAGAAACACCCTGCTTGCCTCCAGGGTGCCCTGGGTTTCTTGGGGTTCGAGGGTTCTGCGACGGAAAGCGTGACGCCCCCGCACTAGACATCAGTGCACGCCCTGGGGTCTCAGGGTTGGGTCTCTCGTGGAGGGGTTCTCGTGGTCGAGCCCCCACTGTGTGCTCGCCGAGCTGTGCGCGCTGTGCGCGAAGGCCATGGCAAGGGACAGTTCTTGTGGGTTCTGCTCCGGCCCGCGGGTGCGTGCTGCAGCGACGGGTGGTGTGCGGAAGGGGAGCGGTCCGAGGCGGGGACGCGCCGGT